AAATTGTCTCTGCTTGCTGATGACATGATCTTATATATAGAAAATCATAAAGATTCTACAGAAACAACTGTTAGAGCTGATAGTCAAATTCAGTGAAGTTGTAGGGTACAAAATGAACACATAAAAATTAGTAGCATTTTTTTACACTAACAACAAACTATCTGCAAAGGAACTTAAGAAATCAGTTTCACTCACAATAGCACCCAAAAATGAAATGCTTAGGAGTAAATTTAACCAAGGAGGTGAAAGACCTTTATAGTGGAAACTGTAAAACATTTATGAAGAAATTGTAGGTGACACAAATAAGTGGAAAGGTATCCTCTGTTCATGGATTAGAAGAATTATATGCCCATACTACTCAAAATGATCTGCAGATTCAATGCAATCCCTATCAAAATTCCAATGTTATTCTTCATGGAAATTTAAAAAAATCCTAAAATTTGTATAGAACCACAAAAGACTCTGAATAGTCAAAGCGATATTGAGCAAAAAGAAGAAAGCTGGACATATTTGTAATCTGTTACAAGGCTATAATAATCAAACAACATAGCCAGGTGCTGTGGCTCACTCCTGTAATCCCAGTACTTTGGGAGGCTGAGGTGGGTAAATTACGAGGTCAGGAGTTTGAGCCCAGCCTGGTCAACATGGTGAAACCCCTGTCTCTACTAAAAATACAAAAAATTAACAGAGCGTGTTGATGGACACCTGTAGTCCAAGCTACTCGGGAGGCTGAGGCAGGAGAATCGCTTGAACCCAGGAAGCAGAGGTTGCAGTGAGCTGAGATGCACCACTGCACTCTCCAGCCCAGGTGACAGAGTGAGACTTTGTCTCAAAAAAAAAAAAAAAAAACAAAAAAAAAACCCACCAAAAAAGGACATAATGATCAATAGAACAACATAGAGATCTCAGAAATAAACTCACACACTTACAATCAATTGAAATTTGACAAAGGTGACAAGAATACACAATGGAGACAAGACAGTCTCTTCATAAGGGATGTTGAGAAAATTGGATATCCACAGGCAGAGGAGTGAAATTGGACCCTTATCTCACTTCGTATTAAAACAAAAAAGTCAAAATGGATTAAAAACTTAAATATAAGACCTGAAACTATAAAACTACTAAAAGAAAACAAAGGGGGAAAATTCCATGATATTGGTCTGGGCAATTATTTCTTGGACATTGTCCAAGTGTCTCCAAAAGCACAGGCAACAAAAGCAAAAATAAACAAATGGAATCGCATCAGACTAAAAAGCTTCTGCACAGCAAGAATCAATTAACAAAGATGCAGCCTACAGACTGGGAGAAAATATTTGCAAACCATACATCTGATAAGGGGCTAATAGCCAAAATGTATAAGGAATTTAAACAACTCTGTAACAAGAAAACAAATAATCCAATCAAATAATGGCAAGGAAACTGAATAGACATTTCTCAAAAGAAGACATATAAGTGGCTAACAGATATGTGAAAAAAATGCTCATTATTACTAATCATCAGGGAAATGCAAATTAAAACCATAATGAGATCTTACCTCACACCTGTTAGAATAGCTATTATCAAAAAGATGTCAGATACCAGTGTTGGAGAGAGTATGGAGAAAAGGGAAACCTTGTGCACCATGGGTGGGAATATAAATTAATACAGCCATTATGGAAAACAGTATGGAGTTTCCTCAGAAAACCAAAAATAGAACTACCATATGATACAGCAACCCCACTTCTGGGTATGTATCCAAGGAAATTGAAGTCAATATATCAGAGATATCTGCACTCCCATGTTCACTGCAGCATTATACCCAGAAGCTAAGATGTGGAACCAACCTAGGTGCCCATCATCAGATGATTGGATAAAGCAAATGTGGCATATATACACACAATGGAATACTATTCAGCCTTAAAAGGAGGCGGAAGGTTTGGGCTCATGCCTGTAATCCCAGCACTCTGTGGACCAAAGCGGGAGAATTGCTTGAGGCTAGGAGCTCAAGACCCGCCTAGGCAACATAGTAAGACCCTCCCCCAACCAAATTTTTTTAAAAACAGCTGAGCATCATAGTACACATCTATAGTCCCAGCTACTCTGGAGACTGAGGTGGGAGGGTCAGTTAAGCCTGGGAGGTTGAGGCTGCAGTGAGCTATGATCGTACCACTAACTCCAGCCTGGGCAACAGAGTGAGACCCTATCTCAAACAAACACACAAAAGGAAGGGAAAATTATTATATTTGCTACAACATGGATGAACTTGAATAACATTATGATAAGTGAGATAAGCCAAGGACAGAAAGACAAATACCACATCTCACTTATATGTGGCATCTAAAACCGTTGACCTCATAGAAATTGAGAGTGGAATAGTGGTTGCCTGAGGTGGAGGCTGGTGAGGTGGCTGAATAGCAAAAGGGGACATATTGGTCAAAGAGTACAAAGTTTCAGTTATGAGAGAGAAACTCCTGTGATCTTTTGTACAAAATAATGACTTCACAGTCACTATAATGCATTGTAAATAATGAATTGTATATTTCAAAATTGCTAAAAGAGTAGATTTTAAATGTTTTCTTCACAGAAAATGACAAATATGTGAGGTGATAGATTTGTTAATCAGCTTGACTTAATCATTCTACTATGTAAGCATAGGAAAACATCACAGAAATACAATTATTGCTTGTCAATTAAAAATGAAATTTTTAAAAGTAACCTCCTCAGAGAGGCCTTCCCTAACCATCCTCTCTGAAGAAGTTCTGCCCCAAAGTGAATTTCAATGACTATACTCTGTGTATTCCTTCCTGCACTTACCCTAAACCATAAATATTTGTTTGCGTTTTCATAATTGTTCTCCTTTTGCCAGTCTGTAAGTTCCACTGGAGACTGTAGTGGGATGAAGTGACCAGAGAAGCCATTGACTAACATTGGAGTAGGTCAAAAGATTATGAGAGGTGATTCTTCTCAAAGTCAGGAAGTTCCTACCAATGGAAGGTTGACCGGAGTTCCTACCAATGGCAGTTTGTCCAGAGTTCCTGAAGAAGGAATTGTTAAACCAACTCTAAGGTCCCTTGAACACTAATATTTTGTTAACTTTTCCATCTGGTATTTGAAAAATGGAAGAGGCTCATTTCCAGTAATGACTCAGTAGCTTGTGTTGGGCTAAACCTTTCCCAGATGATAATGATAAACTTTGGACAAAGTATTTCAAACGATTTGAGGTTGCTGGAAAAAAACAAAAAATAGATAGAATGTGGACAGGATTTGACCCTTAAAGGAAGGAAGCCACACCCACTTAGTGAAATACACATAGAGGTGGCTGTTCCCAGGCCACCTGGGATGGAGCAGCTGGAACTAAAGTGGAGAGCTGCAGCTTTGCTGGTTTGACAGATCAGTGGGCAGAGAATAAGCTCACAGAGTGGCTGGATAATGAGGACATCTAAAGAGATGTCCCAGGTCCATGCGCCCAGTAAGATCAACTGACGCCTCTGTTGAACATGTGGTAATTCAGTATGTCTCTCAGCCCAAATCTTTTCGTTCTTGCCCACAGCTGTTGAGCATGAATGGAAGCACTGCCTGATAAACTTCCTGTTTACAAGTTACCATGGGAGTGTCAGCTACCTGGGGAATTGGACTTGAAAACAATCTAAATAATATTTGTAGAGCATTACACCCAACAACTGCAAAATATGCATTCTTTCCAAGTGCATCTGGAACATTGATCGAGATAGACTGTATTGAATCATAAAATTAATCTTAATGAATGGCAAAAGGCTTAAAACCTTATAGACTATTTTCACTTATCCCAAATGAATTTTTAAAAGCATTAACAAGACAATATCTAAAGAGCACTGAAATTTGAAAATTAAATGCATGTTTTAGTAATACATGGGTCAAAAAATTATAAGGGGTATAGGAATAATTTGAAGTGAATAATAATGAAAATACAACATGTTAAAATTTCTGGGAGGGAAGCACATTGCTTTAAATATTTATATTGGGGAAATAAACGGTTTAGAATTAATTACCTGTGTTTCCAGCTTAAGACTCTAGAAAACACACAGCAAATTAAACTTAAAAGTAAAGAGAAGAAAGGAATTAATAAAAAACAGAAAGAAGTGAAATAGAAAACAGACAACAGAGAAAATTGAAAAGGCTGCAAGTTGGTTCTTTACAAGAGTAATAAAATTTATAAATTCTTAGCAACATGGATCAGTCAAAAAGAGAAAAAGCACATTACCCGTATCAGGAGGAATCATAAGATCCTACAACCAAGATGAAATGGACAACATACTTGAAATCATATATTGTCAAAATTGAGATAAAAAGAAACACAAAACGTGAATAGCTTTATAAAGGAGATTGAATTCATTATTAAAGACTTTCCCACAAAGAAAAACCAACCCCAGATGGTTTCACTGTTGAATTCTGCCAATAATTTAAGGGAAAAAAAACCCAACATTACACAGACTGTTTCATAAAATAGAAAAGGAGGGAATACTTCCCAACCTATTTTGTGAGGTTAACATTACCTTGATACCAAAACCTGGCAAAGACATTGTCAAAAAAAAAACCTACAGACCAATGATTTTGTCATGAACATAGACACAAAAATCCTTAGCAAAATATTATCAGATTGAATCCACCAATATTTTAAAAGGGTACCACACTATGATCAAATAGAGTTTATGTAATTTACTACATTGGTAAGCAAATAAATGGTTTCAAAAACGTATAGTCCTCTCAATAGATTTAGCAAATCACTTGGCAAATTCAACTTCCATTCATGATACGAACTCACATCCAAATAATAATAGAAAGGAACTGCCTGAATCTCATAAAGTGAATTTACCAAAAATCTACATTTAACACCACATTAATGGTGAGATACTGAGCATTTTCCCCCTAAGATTAGGAACAAGGTAAGGTGCATGTTTTCATGGTTTCTATTCAATATTGGAGGTCCTAGCTAGGACAATCAGATAAGGGAAATTAGTAAGAGGCATTCAGATTGTAAAGAAGTAAAAGTCGGTCGGACGGGCGCGGAGACGCTTCTGGAAGGAACGCCGTGATGGCTGCGCAGGGAGAGCCCCAGGTCCAGTTTAAACTTGTGTTGGTTGGTGATGGTGGTACCGGAAAAACGACCTTTGTGAAACGTCATTTGACTGGTGAATTTGAGAAGAAGTATGTAGCCACCTTGGGTGTTGAGGTTCATCCCCTAGTGTTCCACACTAACAGAGGACCCATTAAGTTCAATGTGTGGGACACGGCCGGCCAGGAGAAATTCGGTGGACTGAGAGATGGCTATTATATCCAAGCCCAGTGTGCCATCATAATGTTTGATGTAACATCCAGAGTTACTTACAAGAATGTGCCTAACTGGCATAGAGATCTGGTGCGAGTGTGTGAGAACATCCCCATCGTGTTGTGTGGCAACAAAGTGGACATTAAGGACAGGAAAGTGAAGGCAAAATCCATTGTCTTCCACCGAAAGAAGAATCTTCAGTACTACGACATTTCTGCCAAAAGTAACTACAACTTTGAAAAGCCCTTCCTCTGGCTTGCTAGGAAGCTCATTGGAGACCCTAATTTGGAATTTGTTGCCATGCCTGCTCTTGCCCCGCCAGAGGTTGTCATGGACCCAGCTTTGGCAGCGCAGTATGAGCACGACTTAGAGGTTGCTCAAACAACTGCTCTCCCAGATGAGGATGATGACCTGTGAGAATGAAGCAGGAGCCCAGCGTCAGAAGTCTAGTTTTATAGGCAGCTGTCCTGTGATGTCAGCGGTGCAGCGTGTGTGCCACCTCATTATTATCTAGCTAAGCGGAACATGTGCTTCATCTGTGGGATGCTGAAGGAGATGAGTGGGCTTCGGAGTGAATGTGGCAGTTTAAAATATACCTTCATTGTTTGGACCTGCATATTTAGCTGTTTGGAACGCAGTTGATTCCTTGAGTTTCAGATATGAGACTGCTGCAGTCACATCACAATATTCAGTGGTGAAATCTTGTTTGTTACTGTCATTCCCATTCCTTTTCGTTTAGAATCAGAATAAAGTTGTATTTCAAATATCTAAAAAAAAAAAAAAAAAAAAAAAAAAAGTATAAGTCTCTCTATTTCTAGATGACATGATTATTTAAATGGAAAGCATTAAGGAATCTATAAACAACTAGTAGAAACAATACTTGAATTTAGCATGTCAATATATTGAACATAATATTTTACTAGCAGCAAACAAATGGAAAGTGAAATTTAGAAAAGTGTCAAAAACATGCCAAAAAATAGGAATAAATTTAGCAAAATATATGCAAGATCTCCATATTGAAAATGACAAAAAAATTTCTGAATGGAGGGGTCTACTGTGTTCATAAAGTAGAAAACCCAATATTTTTCAGTGACAATTCTACTTAGTCTACACAATCTCGAACAATATCCGCACAGACTTTTTCATAAAAGTTGATTTTAAAATGCATATGAAAATAGGATCGTAAGATCTAGGATACCTAAGACAATCTTGAGGCAAAAAAATTAAGTTGGAAGATTCACTTTACCTGAATTTAAAACTTTCCTGGAAAGCCACAGCAATCAAGAAATATAAGAATAGATAGATTAATGGAGCATACTGAACAGTCCAGAAGTAGACCCATGAGTGTACAGCCAATTAGTGCCAACAAGGCCACCAAAGCAATTCAGCGGGAGAAAAATACTTTTATAAATGGTGCTGGTAACCTGGATAAATGAGCAGAGGTGAAAATGAACTTCATACCCTACTTCATACCACTCAAAAATCAAGCTTAGATGAATCCCCAACCTAAATAGAAAAGCTAGAACTATAATGCTTCAATAAGACACTATAGAACAGTATGATTGTAATCTTGGGGTTGCAGAGATTTTTAAGAACAGACACAGAAACACTAACCATAAATGAAAAATTTGATAAATTAGGTTTCAAAAAAGAAAAGTTTCTGTTTAGCAAAACATGTATAATTTATTATACATGTGCAGATATGTATAATAGATTTTATATATGTATATAGAAGTATATATTTATATTTACATATATGTATAGACATTGTGTGTGTGTGTGTGTGTGTGTGTGTCTAGATACATATATATGAAATGATATGTAAAGTATTCCCAATACTCAAAATATGGAAGTGTGGTCTCATCCTATGGTATGTATATTTTTTATTATTGGGTTGCTTTTATCTCAAACAATTCACTTTTTTAAGAGTTGTTTTATTCTGCTATGCTCTGCTCATGAAGAAAATGAAGCAGCAAGCCACAGACTGGTAGAAAATGTTTACAATATATGTATCTGATAAAGGACTTGTTTCTAGAATATATAAAGAACTTCTGCAAATCAAAAATAAAAAGATAACCCACCTTTTAGAAATGGGCCAAAGATTTGAATAGGTACTACACAAAAGATGATAAGTTACTGGCCAGTAAACCCACGAAACTTGTTCAGTCTCGTTAAGTATCAGACAAAATAAATTTAAAACACAATAAGGTACTATGTTATGTCCACTAGAATGGGTAAGATGAAAAAGACTGACAACAACCAAATGTCAGAAAGGATATGGAGCAGTGGGAACTCTGGAGTGTGCAAAATCAAGCAACCACTATGGGAAACTTTTTGACAGTTTGTTATCAACTTAGACCTACGCTTACCCCATGACCCAACAAATTAACTCCTAGATATTTTACCGAAGAAAAGATCTATTTCTCAATCTATCAATGAATCTATCTATCCATCCATCCATCCATCCATCCATCTATCTGTCTATCTCCACAAAAAGATTTAAATAAAAAAATTTTTTTTTTTTTGAGACAGAGTCTCACTCTGTCACCAGGCGCCAGGCTGGAGTGCAATGGCGCGACCTCGGCTCACTGCAACCTCCGCTTCCCAGGTTCAAGCAATTCTCCTGCCTCAGCCTCCCCAGTAGCTGGGACTACAGGTGTGCGTCACCACGCCCAGCTAATTTTTCTGTATTTTTAGTAGAGACAGGGTTTCACCATGTTGGCCAGAATGGTCTCACTCTCTTGACCTCGTGATCCTGCCTGAAAACTGGAAGCATTTCAAATTTTCTTGTTCTTCTTATGTCTCTCTCTTTCCTTCTTTCTTCTCTTTCTTTCTTTTCTTTTCTTTTTCTCTTCCTCCTTTTTTTTTTTTTTTCTGATAATGTCTTACTCTGTCACCCAGGCTGGAGTGCAGTGGCATGATCTTGGGTCACTACAACCTTTATCTCCTGGGCTCAAGTGATTCTTGTGCCACAGCCTCCCAAATAGCTGGTTATACAGGCGTATACCACCACACCCAGCTTTTTTTTTTTTTTTTTTTTTTTATCTTTAGTACAGAGGGGTTTTCACCATGTTGGCCCAGCTGGTCTCAGACTCCTACCATTAAGTGGTATGCCCACCTCAGCTTCCCAAAGTGCTAGGATTACAGGTGTGAGCCACCCTACTGTGGTTTACCCATCTAGTAGGATGATATTCAGTGATTTTAAAAATAGAATGACTCCTGACATATACAACATATTGCATCTCAGAACCATTGAGGGAAGAAGTTATTAACAAAAGCATAATATATTTGATTACATTTATATGAAGTTCAAGAACAGGTAAAATTAATAAATGGTGACATGCATCAGAAGTGTATTTGCCTATTAGGGGATGTGGATGGACTACAAGGGGCACAAAAGAACTTTCTGAGGTAATAGGAATATAATAAACATTATACCAATATATACATTTATCAAAACTCAAAGAAGTGTATACCTAAGAATTGTGCATTTCAATCTTAAGTAAATTTTACTACAATAAAAATACTGGCGGCACGCGATAGCTCACACCTGTGATCCCAGCACTTTGGGAGGCTGAAGCAGGAGGATCACTTGAGGCCAGGAGTTTGAGACCAGCCTGGCCAACATGGTGAAACCTCATCTCTACTAAAAATTCAATAATTAGCTGGGTGTTGTGGTGGGTGCCTGTAATCCCAGCTACTTGGGAGGCTGTGGCAGGAGAGTCACTGAATCTGGAAGGTGGGGGTTGCAGTGAGCAGAGATCATGCCACTGCATTCCAGCCTGGATGACACAGTGAGACTCTGTCTCAAAAAAAAAAATTGTATATAATAATCATACAAAAATATAATGTCTAATTCCATGGTTTAAATAGTTATTGTTCTTAATGGGATATTTTGATCCCAAATGAACTGTTTGGCTTTTTAGACTTATGTTACTCTGTTTAGAAAAGCAATAGATGTATATATTGGTCTGCTTGTGCTCCCATAACAAAACAGTATAGGCTGGGTGAGTTAAACAACAGATGCTTATTTCTCACATTTCTGGAGGCTGGGAAGTCCAAGGTCAGGGTGTCTGCTTTCCTGGCTCTGGTGAGGGCCCTCTCCTGGCTTGTAGACAGCAGCCTTTTACCTTTGCTTTCACATGGTGCAGGGAAAGCAAGCTGTGTGGCATCGTTTCTTATGAAGGCTGTACTTCCGTCACGTGGGCCACACCCTAACAACCTCACCAACCATAATTACTTCCCAAAGGGCTCATTTCCAAAGCATCATATTCAACATTATCTTCAACGTATAAATTTGGTGAGGTGGGGGGCATGCCAGTCCATAGTAATATGCATTCTAGAAAATTTGAAAAATCTAAGTGGAAAGGAAAAGAAAAAATGGTATGTACTTGTGTTACCAAAATATAATCACTGTTAATATTTTGATTTCTTTTATTTCCAAAGTTTTATTCTTTCAGCTTGTACATCTTTGTAGTCACTTGGTTCCTATAATTTTGAATCATTATCTTTTAAATTTATCATTAGAACACAAAATTGTTTCTGTTGCTAAAATCCCTTCTTCAGGACACCTTTAAAAATAGCCACAAAAGGTTCATTGGGTAACTGTGCTGTAGTTGACTTATTTATTAAACTGTGGTTGAATGTTGAGATACTTCCCAGTGTTTTGCTAGTGTAAATAGTATGTGATAAACATATTTGTGCATGAAGCTTTTTCTGTAACTTAGAGTCTGTCTTTGGGATAGAATTCCAGAAAATGGAAATTGTAGGTTAAAAAGCTATCATCTGAATACATGTTGCCAAATTCCTTTCCAGAAGGATGTCCTAATTTACATTGCCAGCTGTAGTAGGGCAGGAAAGTGCTATATCTGTTTGCTCTTAAGGAGGCTGGAGGTCATTTCCACTTATGTATTTATTGGCTTATTTCCAGCAGGTAAATAAAGGCAGCTAAAGCTGACTGCTTGTTGTGCAAAATCCCCCTGGCTCTTCTGGCTAAAGTCCTACCACTCCCTGTACCTGGCAGCCTGTCTTCTGGGCCTCACCTACACACGTCTGGGTAGGAGCCAGTTGTCTCCATCCATCCACAGCCATGAATTTCCTCCGTCGACGTCTCTCTGACAGCAGCTTCGTGGCCAACCTGCCTAATGGCTACATGACGGACCTGCAACGCCCAGATAGCTCGACCAGCTCACCTGCTTCCCCGGCCATGGAGAGGAGGCACCCCCAACCCCTGGCTGCCTCCTTCTCCTCTCCAGGATCCAGCATTTTTAGCTCCCTCTCCAGTGCCATGAAGCAGACCCCTCAGGCTTCCTCAGGGCTAATGGAGCCTCCAGGTCCCTCCACGCCTGTTGTTCAAAGACCCAGGATCCTGTTGGTGATTGATGATGCCCATACAGACTGGTAAGCAGGAATTTGCAAATGCTACCGCCTTCTGGGACAAGAGAGGAGTGGGGATTATCTCATCTCTTGGGGAAATAGAAGGGGAGAGCTATGAGAGGCTCAGGTGCTATCAGAGCCTGGCTGGAGAGAAGGAAAGTAACACATACTAAGTAGCTGCTGCATGCTAGGCTCACAGCACCTAATTTGTGCCACATTCTCTTCTAAGCGCTTCATATTTTTGAGTCCACAGTCCTTCACCTGCAAATATCGTATCCAGTACACTCTGGAAACTAGAAAATATTTTGCAATTCTTTTGGTAGCAAAGCCTAATCTGCAGGAAAGTGAGGCTATAATTATACTAAGTGTGTTTGTTCATTTGATTTGCTGCAAGCATCTGAATGTGTTTGATATGGAGTACAGTTCAGAGCCCACTGAAAGTGTTATGTAAAATATGATATATTCACAGTATTACCTTCCTAACAATGGAGAACTTTAAAAATCTGAACTACATCTGGGGGTACTTGCCAGATTTACCTTTCAGCCTCAGCCACCTTCCTCCCATAAAATGAGATTATTATGAGGATAAAAGAAAGCAATACAAGTCCACAGTCCTTATGCCAAGCCCTTGGGATCAGAGTGCCTGAGTGTCCATCATAGCTCTTCCAGGTACTGGCAGTCTGGCTCCAGAGCTTGTCTTCTGAACACCAAAGGTGGGCAGACATGACCACTGTCAACCTCTTCTCAGGCAGTGCCCCCTAGCTGGTAAGCTTCCCAGGAGCAGAGACCTGACACCTGTGTCAAGATCACTGCAGCAGTCATTTACCAGGTAGTTTACTGAGCACTGATTAGGTGCCAGGCATAGCTGAGATGTATGGGTATAGTAGGGAACAGGCTCCTGCTTATGTGGAGCTGCATTTGGAGACTAAGTCCCTATCCCAGCTGTTTGGTACTCAGAGGTGATAAATGTTATCAGTCTAGCTGGAGACATAGAAATTGCAGTTCAGGGGGTGAACCCAACTGTGGAGACAGGGAAACGTTGCATCCAGTGCAGAGGAATACGTGGATGGGAACCAGAGAAGTCTGACAATGGACTCATGGATGGCCTTTGGGGATAGAGAACAGGGTTGCATGTGCATGTCTTCAAAGGTGGCCACATAGTAGATGTATTAGTCCGTTCTCATACTGCTTGAAGAACTGCCTGAGACTGGGTAATTTATAAAAGAAAGAGGTTTAATTGACTTATAGTTCCACATGACTGGGGAGGCCTCAGGAAACTTACAATCATGGCGAAAGGCACCTCTTCACCGGGTGGAAGAAGAGAGAATGAATGAGTGCCAAGTGAAGGAGGAAGCCCCTTATATAAAACCATCAGCTCTTGTGAGAACTCACTCACTACCATGCATGAGAACACCAGCATGGTGTTAACTACCCCCAGGATTCAATTACCTCCCTTTGTGTCCTTCCCACCCATGACATGTGGGGATTATGGGAACTACAATTCAAGATGAAATTTGGGTGGGTATACAGCCAAACCATATCATCCCATGCGTGGCCCCTCCCAAATCTCACATTTTAAAACACAGTCATGCCGTTCCAACAGTTTCCCAAAGTCTTAACTCATTCCAGTGTTAACCCAAATGTCCAAGTCCAAAGTCTCATCTGAGACAAGGCAAATCCCTTTCTCTGAGAAGCTTATAAAATTAAAAGCAAGTTAGTTACTTCCTAGACCCAATGGAGATACAGGCGTTGGGTAAATACACACATTCCAAGTAGGAGAAATTGGCCAAAACATGCAAGTCCAGAATCCAGTGAGGCAGTAATTAAATCCTAAAGCTCTGAAATAATCTCCTTTGACTCCATGTCTCATATCCAGGTAACACTGATGCAAGATGTGGGCTCCCATGGCCTTGGATAGCTCCACCCCTATAGCTTTGCAGAATACAGCCCCCCTCCCAGCTGCTTTCACAGGCAGGCGTTGAGTGTCTGCAGCTTTTCCAGGCTCACAGTGTGAGCTGGCAGTGGATCTACCATTCTGGGGTCTGGAGGATGCTGGGCCCTCTTACAGCTCCACTAGGCAGTGCCCCAGTAGGGACTGTGTGTGGGGGCTCCAACCTCATATTTCCCTTCTCCACTGCCCTAGCAGAGGTTCTCTATGAGGGCCCCACTCCTGCAGCAAACTCCTGCCTGGACACCCAAGTGTTTCCCTACATCCTCTGAATTCTAGGTGGAGGTTCCCAAACCTGAATACTGACTTTTGTGCATCTGCAGGGCCAACGCTATGTGAAAGCTGCCAAGGCTTGGGACTTGCACCCTCTGAAGCAACGGCCTCAGCTGTACCTTGGCCTCTTTTAGCCACAGATAAAGTGACTGGGACACAGGGAACCAAGTCCTGAGACTGCACGCAGGAGGGGGGCCCTGGACCCAGCCCATGAAACCATTCTTCCCTCCCAGGCCTCCTGGTATGTGATGGGAGGGGCTGTCCCCAAGATCTCTGACATGCCCTAGAGACATTTTCCCCATTGTGTTGGTGATAAACATTCAGCTCCTTGTTGCTTATGCAAATTTCTGCAGTGGGCTTGAATTTCTCCCCAGCAAATGGATTTTTCTTTTCTATCACATTGTCAGGCTGCAAAGTTATTAAATTTTTATGCTCTGCTTCCTCTTGAATACTTTGCTGTGTAGAAATTCTTCTGCCAGATATCCTAAGTCATCTCTCTCAAGTTCAAAGTTCCACAAATCTCTAGGGCAGGGACAAATGCTGCTAGTCTCTTTGCATAGCAAGAGTGACCTTTATTCCAGTTCCCAACAAGTTTTTAATCTCCATATGAGACCACCTCAACCTGGACTTCATTTTCCATATCACTATCAGCATTTTGATAAAAACCATTTGACAAGTCTCTAGGAAGTTTCAAACTTTCCCATGCCTTCCTGTCTTCTGAGCCCTCCAAGCCTCTAGGAAGTTCCAAACTTTCCCACATTTTCCTGTCTTCTTCCAAGCCCTCCAAACTCTTCCAACCTCTGCCTGTCACCCAGTTCCAAAGTTGCTTCCACATTTTCGGGTATCTTTACAGAAGCATTCCACTCTCTGGGGTACCAATTTACTGTATTAGTCCATTCTCACACTGCTATAAAGAACTACCTGAGAGTGGATAATTTATAAAGGAAAGAGGTTTAATTGACTCACAGCTCAGCATGGCTGGGGAGGTCTCAGGAAACTTACAATCATGGTGGAAGGTGGCAAGAGAGAGAATGAAAGAGTGCTGAGCGAAGGGGGAAGCCCCTTCTAAAGCCATCAGCTCTTGTGAGAACTCACTACCACAAAACAGCAGCGTGGGGGTGACTGTCCTCATAATTCAATTATCCCCCACTGGGTCCCTCCCACAACACATGGAGATTATGGAAACTACAATTCAAGATGAGATTTGGGTGGGTACACAGTCAAACCATATCAGTAGGCACCAAGTAACTACATATTAACTGAATAAATGAATGCATCCTGTTCACTAAGCATACCAGATGCTCTGTTAGTCTAATGTGCATGTATACACGCACATTCACTCCTTAAGACATTAACTTAGGTTGGGAATGATTAAACCTATGCTTTGCTATTTATAGTTTTTAATGTATACTCTATATACAGTCAACACTGAAGTATGTTCAGCCTATTCAGACGTCAGTCTTCACTTACCTGCTCAGAAATTGCCACTTCTTAACTAGAGTGGTCATGTGAATCACCTCTCTTCTGTTCTGATGCAGTGTGAATCATCTTAGGTGTTGCTGCTTGCTTAAAGGCATTTATTATGAAACTGTTTGTCTCTGCTTATGTGTTTATGTGAAGCATCACTTTTAGCCTCTGGGCTTAGGGGTTGATGTCTGCCAGGGTGTTGCTTCCAGGCCCTCTTCCTGAACAATGCCCACCTGCCTATAGTCAAAATGCCTGCATTGTTCTTGAAGTTTTCTATCTCGCTTCAACCCAACATTTGACCTTGATTTTGAGTGTTCTCTGCTGGCTCTGTTATCCCTGGCTCAGCAATTTTCAGGGAAGTTACGTCTTTGCACGGAGGTTGAGCTTAAATGGCAGTATGGTGTAGTGGTTAAGAATACAGGTGTCAGAGCTAGGTTATCTGGGTTCAAATTCCATCTCTACCCTGAGGTAACTATGACCTTTGTAAGTTACTGCACCTAAATGGGAACAATGATAGTACCTATGTCATAGAGTTAATATAGTAAGTAGGGTTAAGATCTGAGTTAGTATAACAGTGCATAGGATGTGCCTTGTAGACAGTAAGTGCTGTGTTAAGTGTGACCCTTCCTATGCAACATTAATCATCTTAATAGTAGCCCCTTGTAGACCTGCCTGTTTAATTTCTTCATGCCAAATACTGGGCAGTCTGGATTAGGATTTATCCCATTGTGCTATTTATTTCACCCTTTGGTCTGTTGGTCACTTCCCTGTAGCTCCTGGGTGATAAAGTTGGGTCTTACTAATCTCTGTTCCTCCAGTGTTCATGTGGTGTACATAGTGTACAGTAGGGTAGGGGAATAGTGAATGAGGTTGAAATGCAATGAATGGCCTCAGCCATAACATTTGAATTTTGACTTTGGTATTCAGCCTCCCTAATTCACAGGAAGGACCAGTGTGTAAATTTTAAGCTATGTGCACTGGTGAGGACACTGCTTTGGCCAGAGGAGTTTTTCCTAGTATGTTTTAATTGTACGTCCTATGCCCACACTTAATTAGGACCTGACAAAGTTTGGTTTATGGTGTTCTTTTTGCCCCTCAGTAGGTGAAAAAGTGGAGAAGTAAGAAACTAAGACTCATTAACTCACCTGGCAGTTGGCCCTGCAATTATTAGATGTTTGTGACAGAGACCTCCTACCACCAACACATCAGCTTCTCCTACAGAACTCCATCCTAAATTCTTCATGAACTTCCTAACCTTTCTGAATCTCAATGTCTTCCTAGCTTTCTCCAAATTGATGCTGGCTGCCTTAGAGTCTCAGTTCTGCCCTGAATAATC